GGACTGGCTCCCCCAGATCCCAGGCCTCTAGGCCCCGCAGACGCAAGTTTCCCCTGCTGCCACGCAGGCGAGGGGAGCCTCTGATGCTGCCACCTCCCTTACAGCTGGGGTTCCGGGTCACTGCTGAAGACCTGGACCTGGAGAAGGAGGCGGCGTTCCAGTGCATCAACAGTGTACTGCGGGGTGAGGCCAAGGCCATCTGGGACTGCAGACCCTCACGGCCTTCCCACACTTTGTCCTCACTTGCAACAGGGACTTGTGGTCTGTTTGCTGTTTCTAAAGCACCCAGGATGGATGCACAGCAGGAGAGAGACAAGTCCCAAGACCCCCGGGGCCCAGTGGCTCCCCTAGCATCTGTTGCAGAGGCTCCCTCTACAGCTCCTGTGTCTGGGAAGAAGCACAGACCACCAGGCCCCCTGTTCTCCTTCTCAGATCCCCTTCCTGCCACTTCTTCCCACTCCCAGGACTCAGCCCAGGTCACCTCGCTGATTCCTGCCCCATTGCCAGCTGCAAGCATGGATGGGGGCATGAGAAGAGCAAGGCCTGGCACTTCTGCTCCTGCAGCTGCTGCAGCGGCCCCTCCCCCCTCCACATTGACCCCCACGTCGGGGTCCCTACTGAGTGGAGTGGATGGCGGCCCTTCACATTTCCGGGCCTCAACCACAGCTGCAGCAGGTGCCCAGAGGTCAGAAGTCAGATATAACCAGAGATCCCAGACCTCCTGCATGAGCTCGTGTCCCAAACGAAATGCCATCTCGAGCTCCTACAGCTCCACGGGAGGCTTCCCGTGGCTAAAGCGGAGGAGGACGGAGGGGCCAGCCTCATCCCACTGCCAGCTGACCCTCAGTTCCTCAAAGACAGTGAGTGAGGCCAGGCCTCAGGCTGCCTCTTCGGGTCACACCCAGTGTGAAAAGGTGGCAGATACAGCACCAGGGCAGACATTCGCCCCGAGGACTGGCTCCCCCAGATCCCAGGCCTCTAGGCCCCGCAGACGCAAGTTTCCCCTGCTGCCACGCAGGCGAGGGGAGCCTCTGATGCTGCCACCTCCCTTACAGCTGGGGTTCCGGGTCACTGCTGAAGACCTGGACCTGGAGAAGGAGGCGGCGTTCCAGTGCATCAACAGTGTACTGCGGGGTGAGGCCAAGGCCATCTGGGACTGCAGACCCTCACGGCCTTCCCACACTTTGTCTTCACTTGCAACAGGGACTTGTGGTCTGCCTGCTGTTTCTAAAGCACCCAATATGGATGCACAGCAGGAGAGACACAAGTCCCAAGACTCCCGGGGCCCAGTGCCCCCCTAGCATCTGCTGCAGAGGCTCCCTCTACAGCTCCTGTGTCTGGAAAGAAACACAGACCACCAGGCCCCCTGTTCTTCTCGGATCCCCTTCCTGCCACCTCTTCCAACTCCCAGGACTCAGCCCAGGTCACCTCGCTGATTCCTGCCCCCTTGCCAGCTGCAAGCATGGAGGGCAGCATGAGAAGCCCAAGGCCTGGCACTTCTGGAGCCAGTTCCAGCTCAGCAGCCACACCCACGGGCTTTGGGAGCAGAGAGGCAGCCCCAGCTCTGAGTTCCCTCAGAAGAAAACAGGTAAAGAGAAAGGCCCCGAGCACCACCCATGGCAATGGGGCATGAGGGGGCCTGAACACCAGGGGGCCCCCCAGGCTGAGCACATCCATGGTGACTGCGGGAACTGGCACAGGGAGCAACTCTGTTGGGTGGCACTTTTGTCTTTACTTTCCATCGCGTCCCTGGGGGACCATTTAAGCAGACACCTCCAGTTGCAAGTCAGGGACCCAGTGCCACTGCAAACAAGGCAGGCTGCACGTGCAAGTCTGGGCCGGCCTCTGACCCTAGCAACCCCACTTCCCGCGTGGGCACAGCAAGGAAGAACCTGGCCTCTAAGGCTCCCTTGTGTACTGTCAGGGGTTCTGCTGGACACATCCAATGGGCCATCGTCCAGCTCATCCTTCTCCACATCGGGCTTTTGAGCCCGTCATAAATTCCTTGCCTAGAGTGAGGTCCAGAAGAGTTTTCTCCTTCCAGTGTTTTTGTAGTTTTGTATCTTAACATTCAAGTCTTGGATCTATCTCGAGGTGATTTTTGTATATGCTGAGAGATAAGGGTCCGGGTTCATTCTTCTGCATGTGGCTATCCAACCCTCCCAGTACCATTCATTGAAGAGGGTGTCCTTTCCCCAGTGTGTTTCTGTCGGCTCTGTCAAAGATCAACTGGCTGTGAACGTGTGGCTGTGTTTCTGGGTTCTCTCATCTGTCCCATTGATCTAAGTGTCTAGTTTTATGCTAGGATTATACTATTTTGGTAACTACGCACTTGTCAAACATTTTGTAGTTGTAATTTGCAGTGTAATGGGATGCCTCTAGTTTTGCTGTTTTTGCTGAGGATGACTTTGGGTCTTTGAGCTCTTTTTTTTTTTTAGTCCTTTTTTGTGAATTTTAGGACTTTCCAATTCTGTGAGTGGTGACATTGGTATTTTGGTGGGGGTTGTATTGAATCTCTAGACTGCTTAGGGCAGTGTGGTCATTTTAATGCTATGAATTCCTACCATGAGCATGAAATGATTGTCCATTTCTTTCTCTCCTCTTAAACATTTTCTCAGTGTTTTGTAGTTTTCCTTGTAGAAATCTTTCACCTCCTTGGTAAAATTTCTTCTGTGGCATACATTTTTCCATTTTGTTGCTATTGTAAATGGGATTGCCTTCTTAATTCTTTCTCAACCAGACCATTATTGGTGTGTAGAAATGCTGCTGATTTTTGCTGTTGTTGTTGTTGTTGATTCTATATCCTGCAAATAGCTGTATTAATTTATTTATCAAGTCTAGGAGTTTTCTGGTGGAGCCTTTACATGTTTCTAGATCTAAATCACATCTTCATCAGACAAGGATAATTTGATGTCCTCTTTTCCAATGTGGATGCCTTTTACTGTTTTCTCTTGCCTGATTGTGTAATGTCGAATAGGAGTGGTGAGAACCGGCATCCTCATCTTGTTCCTGTTTACAGAGGAAAATGCTTTCAACTTTTCCCCATTGGGTAGTAGGTTAGCTATGGCTTTGCCATATACAGCTTTTATTGTTTTCATGTATTTTTTTAAAATTTTTGTTTTTTGAGACGGAGTCTCACTCTTGCTACCCAGGCTAAAGTGCAGTGGCATGATTTCGGCTTACTGCAAGCTCCACCTCTGTGGTTCACCCATTCTCCTGCTTCAGTCTTCCGAGTAGCTGGGATTATAGGCGCCCGCCACCACACCAGGCTAATTTTTGTACTTTTAGTAGAGATGGGGTTTCACCACGTTGGCCAGGTTAGTCTCAAACTCCTGACCTCAGGTGATCTACCCACCTCAGCCTCCCAAAGTGTTGGGATTACAGGCATGAGGCACTGCGCCCAGCCCGGCCATTTTCAGGTATGTTTCTTCTATGCCTAGTTTGTTTGTTCCTTCTTTCAAGACATGGTCTCACTCTGTCTTTCATGTTGGAATATAGTGGCACCATCAGAGCTGCAGGTTTGAACTCCTGGGCTTAAGCCACCTCAGCCTTCTGAGTAGCTGAGACTACAGGTGCCCATCACCAGAGCGGGCTAGTTTTTATTTTTATTTTTTTTTGTAGAGATCTCTGTTCCTCAGGTTGGCCTTGAACTGTTGACCTCAATTGATCCTCCCAGCTCAGCTTCCCAAAAGCACTGGGTGGACAAGCACGAGCCACCGCTTGGCGCAGAGTCACATTTTAACATCACATCCTCACTGCTGGGCTCAAGTTTTGGCAGTGACTGAAAACCCTAAAGGAGAGTCTCTGGTCAGGCCCGGCCCAGTCTGTGCATAGGAGGGGGATGGAAAAGTGGCCCGTGGATGGTTCTTTTGGAGAACTGGCCAGACAAGCACTGAGATGTCATTTCATGGAATACAGGGCCGTGTGATGTCCAGTCCAGCTGCCAAGTCCAGGGCCCTCGACACCGTCTAGTTTGGGAGCTCACCCAGAAGTGGCCTCGGTTGCCCAAAGCAGCTGGTCTCCCTTCCAATCTGGTCCCATTTGAGAGATGCACTGGGCCCCGTCTTCCAGGAAAACATTTCAGTGTGTGCCTGTCTTTGTCCCTGCACTGGCTGGCCTCTCTGTACCGTGAGAACTTGGGTTACGCAAGGCTCTGCCAGTCAGCTGAGCATCACGAAGCAGCTCTCTTCTGTTCCAGTGAGGCCAACCAGGCTCCAGCACCCCTGCCCCGGGTCTGACTGTTCTCCCCCCACCCGGAAGTGACCCCCAACCCGATCCCGCTCCCTGTCTTCTGGCAGCTGCTCTGGGGAGGGGCATTTTGGCCTCAAGGGCTGAGCGTGTCATTTTCTGTTTTCTGTTTATCTTTCCAGAGCTGTTTGGGACAGCCCATGCGTCAGTCCATGTACTGCTTCTTTGGAAGGCAATCGGGGCTTTCTTTCAGGGGTGGGTATAAAAGTTCTTGTGGCTGGGTGCAGTGGCTCACACCTGTAATCCCAGCACTTTAGGAGGCTGAGATAGGCAGATCACGAGGTCGGGAGATGGAGACCAACCTGGCTAACATGGTGAAACTCCGTCTCTACTAAAAATACAAAAAAATTAGCTGGGCATGGTGGTGGGCACCTGTAGTCCCAGCTACTTGGCAGGCTGAGGGAGAAGAATGGCAAGAACCTCGGAGGCGGAGCTTTCAGTGAGCCGAGATCGCGCCACTGCACTCCAGCCTGGCAACCAAGCAAGACTCTGTCTCAAGAAAAAAAAAAAAAAACAGTTATTGTGACATTTGTGTATGAAATCAGCCTTTGCTACATGGATAGGACCAGCACGCTTCCGCGGCATGACTCTGCAATCTTACTTATCTTTTTTTTTTTATTTTGTATTTTATTTATTGATTTCTTTTGAGACAAAGTCTCACTCTGTTGCCCAGGCTGAAGTGCTGTGGCACAATCTCGGCTCACTGCAACCTCCATTCCTGGGTTCAAGTAATTCTCATGTCCCAGCCTCCCAAGTAGCTGGGACTACAGGTGCACATCACAACACCCGGCTAATTTTTGTATTTTTAGTAGAGATGGGGTTTTGCCACATTGGTGAGGCTGTTTTCGAACTTCTGACCTCAGATAATCAACCCGTCTTAACCTCCCAAAGTGCTAAGATTACAGGCATAGACTTATTTATTTATTTGAGATGGACTCTTGCTCCACTGCCCAGGCTAGGGTGCAGTGGCATGATCTCAGCTCACTGCAACCTCAGCCTCCCAGCTTCAAGTAATTCTCCTTCTTCAGTGTCCTGAGTAGCTGGGATTACAAATGCCCGTCACTGCACCTGGCTAATTTTTGTATTTTCAGTAGAAATGGGGTTTCACTGTCTTGACTAGGCTGATCTCGAACTCCTGACCTCATAATCCACCTGCCTTGGCCTCTCAAAGTGTTGGGATTACAGGCCTAAGGCACTGTGCCTGGTCACATTTATTTATTTGTTATATAGAGACAGTGTCTCTCTCTGTCACCCAGGCTGGTGTGCAGTGGCACCATGTCAGCTCTCTGCAGCCTCTGCCTCTGGGGTTCAAGCGATTCTCATGCATCAGCCTCCCGAGTAACTTGGACTGCGGGTATGTGCCACCAAGCAGGGATAATTTTTTCTATTTTTTTGTGGAGACAGGGTTTCACCATGTTGGCCAGGCTGGTCTCAAACTCTTGGGCTCAGGTGATCTGCCTTCCTCGTCCTCTCAAAGTACTAAGATTACAGGCATGAGCCACTGCGCCCGGCCTCTCACTACATTTAAATGATGCAGTGGTTCATGCCTGTAATTCTAGCACTTTGGGAGGCCAAGACAGGTGGATCAACTGAGGTCAGGAGTTCAACACGAGCCTGGCCAACACGGGGAAACCCTGTCTCTACTAAAAATACAAAAATTAGCCAGGTGTGGTGGCATGAGCCTGTAGTCCCAGCTACTTGGAAGGCTGAGGCAGGAGAATCACTTTAACTGGGAGGTGGAGGTTGCAGTGAGCCAAGATCACACCACTGCACTCCAGCCTGGGTGACAGAGTGAGACTCCATCTCAAAATAATAATAATAATAAAATGCCTGATGCCAGGGCATCTCGGCCTGGGTGCCTGCACGAGCACAGCCATGTCCAGGCCAGGGCTGCCGGTCAAGGTCCAGCCCCATCTTGTCCAGCAGAAATGGAGTGAACTTGCGGGGCCCAGGCTAGGGTACAAGATCCCAGGATCTCAGCCTCTGCTCATGGATCAGCTCTGAGACCCTGAGTGAGCTGGGGTGCTCTCTGCTCATTGGTTTCCCTGGCTGTCAAGTAAAGGGATTGGATGAGGAAGTCTCATCAAGGTGGAATGATCTCAGATTTGGGGCAGCAGTGAATGATCCCGCTCCCTGGGTCATGCCAGTGGTCCGGCCTCGGCTGAACACAGCCCCAACATCTGGAATGGGGATGAGGGGGCAGTCAGCTCTTGCTCCTAGTAAGACAGATGCAATAGGGCTCTGTGGCTGAGCTGGGTACATTTCCTTACACCTGTAATCCCAACCCTTTGAGAGGCCATGGTGAGAGGATTGCTTGAGGCCGGGAATTTTGAGAATAGCCTGGACAACATAGCCAGACCCCATGTCTACAAAATAAAAATAATAATAATAAAACAGGTCAAATGGCACACAGCTCTAGTCCAAGCTATTTGGCAGGCTGAGGCAGGAGGGTCCTTTGAGTCCTGGGATTGGAGGCTGCATTGAGCTATGATGGCACCACTGCACTCCAGCTTAGGTGACAAAGTGAGACCCTGTCTCGAAAAGAAAAAAAAAAATTGTCCTGTGAGCGTGGGTTTGATTTTCTTTTTTCTTTTCTTTTTTTGAGATGGGTTCACACCATTCTCCTGCCTCAGCCTCCTGAGTAGGTGGGACTACAGGCACCTGCCACCATGCCCAGCTAATTTTTTGTATATTTTTGGTAGAGATGGGGTTTCACCGTGTTAGCCAGGATGGTCTCAATCTCCTGACCTCATGATCCGCCCACCTCGGCCTCCCAAAGTGCTGGGATTATAGGCGTGAGCCACCGTGCCTGGCCGGGTTTGATTTTCAAACAGGACCGAGAAGGCAGGGGACAGAGAGTGCAGTCACCCTTAGGTGCCGAACACTCAGAAACGGGCCAGCGGCAGCCCGCACCTCACCTGCAGACACCAGATTGGGCAGAACAGCACGTGGCACTCACAGCTCTTGCAATGAGAGCAGAACCCAGTGTGGACCCTTCTGCCTGTGGGAGGGGCTGTTGAGGCCTGCGGAGAGGCCAGGCTGGAGGCTCATCCCCTTGTCCAGCCCTTGGTGTGGTCTCTGCCAGGTCCCCAGCCCACCAGTGCAGGGCGCCCCTGAGCCTGCTGCTGCCACGGGCCTGTCTCTACCCAGGACGTCCCCACACCCTCGCAGTGTCAGGGAAATGGTCATGGTGGCGGTGACACTCCCCAGGCAGGACTGTTGAGAGAAGCTGAGAAGGGTCACACTGCAGGCAGGGGCCCGTGTGACAAGCCCCTCTCACCCCGAGAGAGCTGACCAGGCAGCTCACGAGCAGAAGCCACATCCTGAGAGTATGAGAAAGGTCCTGGCTGGGCTCAGCCACCTCACTGGCCACTGGCAACCTTTGTCGTGTGAGCCTTGCTCTCCTGGGGAGGCTGAGGCTGACGGCTGATGTGGGCATTGCTGAGGGTAACCTGTGGCCCAGTGGATGTGGCCGGGTCTCCTCAAGCTGCACTCAAAGGACCCAGGCTGCACGCCCATCTCCAGCCCAGGGCAGCTCCCCTGTAAGCTGGGTGAGCTACTGAAGCCAAGGCGGGAGGCGGCTGACAATACCTATGGCCCATGCAGAGGTGGTGAAAAGGCTGGACTCAGCAGCAACACCAAATCCCGGACCAAGCAGAAACCACCCAAGACTGAGGGGCTCGTGCCAGAGCGGTGGACACAGGTAAGAACCCAGGCCCAGGCTGTGTGTGGTGGGAGTCCTCCCTGTCCCAGGGCTCAGCACAGCAAAGGAAGACCAGCTGGGTCACCCTGGAGGCCATCTGTCCCTGTCCCACTTGCAGAGTCAGAACAGCCTCTCCCCAGTGGGGATCGTCTTTCTCTGCCAAAGCAACAGTGGTCCCTGCCCCAACCAGACTGCCCCACTCCATGGAGTTACGGCTGCTGCTCCAGCGTCCTAACGCTGCCCAGCTGGCACTGCCTGTGCTCACCCACACCCCCCAGGCCGGCCTTCCCTGCAGCCTGGGCTTAGCCACCTTGGCCTGATTGAGCATTGAGGCCTCCTGGGCACCCAGCCCCATCACTGCACCTGCTGCTTCCAGCCCCACCCCACCGGCTCAGGGGTTCTTCCCAGCGGCGCTGATCATGAAATCAACATGCACGCAAGTCGTCTCAGGGAACTTTATTGAAAGTGTTGGCAGTTCTTTCCCACACGGTGGTGCATAGGTGGCTGAGCTCAGATTGCAGCTGCTAAGACACCAGCCACTTACCGAGAGAAAGCCAGGCTGCTTCAAACCCAGGGCCTGAAGCAAAAAAGCATCACTTCTGGTCAGGAAGTCTTAAAGCCATGCCTTGTGGGAGGTCACACTGGCATCTAGGCCTTTGCCTGCATTGCAGAAGGAGAGCCGGGTCCCCTCCTGGAGAATGCTGCATTCCCCAGTCCCGTACCGGTTTTACCACCACACAGGCTTTTGAGGCAGGAGCTGTAGACCCAAAGCGACCATCAGCTCTGGGGCCCTGTGGGAGAGGAGCACTTTTAGAAGAACATAGAAAAGTGTGGTCATCCCATCATTAGACAGCATACATCCTACATAAATAAAAAGACGCACGGGGAAGGAGGTTGGAGAGGGAACAAAAAATTGGTACAGACACTGATAGATTGGTTTCCAGTTTCAAGGCGACAGATGTACATCATGAGACCAGAGGAGACCAAGACAAGGGCTGGATTTGGCTTTTCTAAGAAAGATGTGTTTCCTTGCAGGGCTGGATGGTCACTGAGACAGAGATGGAAGCCAGGACAGGGGAGCTCACAGGGCCCAGATAGGTACAGAGAGCAGAGGCTCCTGTTCTGTCCTCACCACCCATGAGGGTGACACTGCTTGCAAATGGTGGCCGTGCTCTCCCAGCAAGAAAAAAGCACAACAAAATCCACACTGCACACAGACACAGACAGAAAACCTTCAAATGACTCTGTTTTCTGCTCCCTGCCTCACCAGGTCCACAAGCAGAGAGAAGTGTCAGGTGCACAGCCCCGCTGTCAGCCTCGCCGATGAGCTGCAGGCTCAGCAGGAGCTGCCCACTGACACACAGGGGAAACCCACTGCTTCCACCTTGGTAGCGGTCGCCAGACAGAGCCACACTGGGTGCTGGTGTCATCCAGGGACCCCACACACTTTCTTGAATTCGATCCTGCTTCCCTCTGGGCAGCTGCATCCTTTCCTCCTGCAGGACCGTCTGGAAACTTGGCTCTGCTCTCCCTTCTCTCCTCTCTGCCCCAAACCCCTCTTTCTAAAAAAGTGATGCAGTGTTCATGGGGTTATTTCTTGAAAATACTTGGCGGCCTCCACGCTTCCGTTTTCTTTGAGACAGGTGGTCATGAGGATTTACAAAGAATGCCTGGGCTCCCCCGCAGGTGCTGGCAGAGGGGGTAGCGATTGGTCCTGTGCCTCCACCTGCTCTGGGAGGGAGTCTTCCTCTAGGGCTGGCCCCTTCCTAACCCTCCACGTATCCTGTTCTCCAGAGACTTTGGAACCCCACTCCTAAGAGCAGTGGGGCCAGGCGCTTAGAGGAAGAGCAAATGCTGCCAGGACACAGATTATCCCCAGAGTACTTTCCAGCATTGTATTAGGTATCTGGATCTGTTAGGAAAAAAAAAAAATTAGAAAGTATGCATAAAACTTGAAAACATTCAAGTATCAAAAGCTTATTTAGGTTGAAAGTTTTAAAACAAGTCATCAGCAAGCTGCCACCAAGTGGAGACTTTTACAAAAGTTGAGCGAGTCTGCTGAGCTGAGAGGACAGAAATGAAGTCACCTGTGCTGGGGCAGGGGCAGGGACACCTGGGGCAGGGAGTGTGTGGGCAGAGAGAAACCAGAGAAGTCCAGGTCTGTGGAAACCAAACAGGAGAGCGTGCGCCGGAAGGGCGGTCAGGATCAGGGGACGAGGTCGCTCTCCCTGGAGAACGAACCCTAAAGTGCGTAGCCTGGGACTCCCTCCCTGGGGGTCCTGTCCCCCAACATTTCACAGCCTGCCTGGAGCTGCCTTCCAAGGAGGACAAACATGGCAACAAAAGACCCATTTCTGCACAACAATCCTTCTGGAAAGAAAAAGAAGCCAAGAATGGAGTCAAAACGCTACCCAGTGCTGACTAAGCCTCTCAAACCCTGTTCTAAATGGAGTGTGGTTTCTAAGTCAGGGAAATGGAAGAGGCCCCACCCACACAGGGACAGGGCCATGGCCCCACAGGATGAAGCAGCAGCATTTATTCAAGATACAACAGTGAGGGAATCTGATCACATTCCCTTCTCCCCGCAGAGAGCGCATCTTGACAAGTGATCCAGTAGAAACCTTTTAAACTCTGTAAGTTAAGTTCATAAAAACCACTGTCTTCACCCTGTCTCCCAGGTCCAGGCCTGGACTCTCAGATGCACTGGCTTGGGGCGCCCTCAGGTGGCCACATTAAAAAAAAACACAGTCTGAGGGCAGCCTGGGGTTTTCAGACTTGGGCAGGATCTGCCCAGGCCAAATGTCCTTCTGCTTTGGGCCTCTGTCTCTTGGCAGATGGCCTGACACTGAGGCCCAAGGATGCCTCAGAAAATCTTGATTCCCACTCTATGGATGGCCTGATTAGCCAGAGGTTTCCAGGCTGTCTGTCCACCTCCTGGAGATGGACTGGGGCCTTTAGACTTCAGTGGAGAGGGGGATGCTCTGTCTCTTGCTGTCCGGGGCAGGGATGGCCTCCAGCTGCAGGAAGTACAGCAGCACCTGGACCTGCCGGGCAGAGTGGGGAAGAGAAGAGCGGCTCAGAGGGGGGCTCACAGCTGCTGGTGGGGAGGTCTTTGGGGCGTAAGCCTCCAAGTCCACCTCAGGTGCTGGAAACCCCTGCTGGTGTAACGAACCCCTTACAGTGAGACGGGGGTGGGGTGAGGTCCTGACAAGGCATGACTTGGTAGGGGGGTGTTTATTTTAGAGATGCACAGGGCCTTGCTCTATCCCCCAGGCTGGAGTGCAGTGGCTCCATCATGGATCTCTGCAGCCTCTAACTCCTGGGCTCAAGCGATCCTCCTGTGTCAGCCTCCTAGGTAGCTAGGACTACAGGTGTGTGCCACAATGCCTGGCTAATTTTTCTTTGTATTTTTTCTAGAGATGGGGATTGCTACATTGCCCAGACTGGTCTCAAACACCTGGGTTCGGTTATCCTGCCTTGGCCTCCCAAAGATTACAGGCATGAGCCACCACACCCGAACACTTGAGGTGATTTTAAGCTTCTAGCAAAGTGCACCAGCAGGACCAGGAGGTGGCCTGGGCCCCCCCGCATCACTCCCATCCATGCAGACCTAGGCAAGTCCCTCTCTCTGGATCTCTGCCACCACTACATACAATGCAAGTAGAAAGTTGGGCAGGACTGTGGGTGGAGAAGGTAGAGGTCACGTCTGTCAGGCTGGGTGGGCTGGAGCCTGTCTTCCCATACCTGGGACATGATCTCCAAGGACCAGCTGTCAGTCATGATGATGGGCTGGCTTGGATTGGCAAGGAGCTTGCTCTCCTTCTTGGAGGGATGGAGCAGTGTGGGGCCAAAGACAGCGGTGAGGTTGTACAGGGACATCTTATTGACTGCCTCCTTCTCTGCCATACTGTAGAGGACTGAAACAGCAGGTGCTGTTTCAATACCACCACTGAGAGAGACAGATGCCATGCTGGAGTCCTCAGGAAGGGAGTGACCTCAACCCTGGCTGTGCTGCAAGCTGACTCCAGCCCTGGTACTTCCGAGTCTCAGTGGCCCACGAAAAAGGGCCAGCTCTGGGCTGGTGGGGAGGTCTCCTCTATGATGTGACTGGGAGGGAAGAGGGCTGTTCAAGTGCACTGCTGGCCATGGCCAAAGCTCTGAGTTCTTTGTTAAGACCACAGTGCAGAGGGAGGAGCGTGGCAAAGAGGAGAGGCAGGGGCAGGGGTGGCAGTGCTGCTAGTCCTTAGAGGCAGTAAGTGACTGCAGACAGGGGTCGGGGGAAAAGGTCCTCAGTCTGGAGGTCTGGTGGGAGCAGAGGGGCACCCCATGGCCTGGAGACCTGGAGCCCCCCGCAGCCATGGGAGAGCTGGGCTACCTTTTCAGGTGGTCCAGAAGGAAAAGGAAGGTGAGCAGGTTGGCCTCCGGCAGGGACAGCAGCAGGTTGAGCATGCAGCTGTCCTTTGCAACTGGGTCTGAAAGAGCTGCAGGAGGCGATGGGTTACTCTTCTGGGTCACAACCAGCCAGAGACCTCTCCCGAGGTGGTCACATGGAGCACCTGGGACATGAGTCTCTGCGCAGTTTAGGCCCGTCATCATCCCCACACCCACAGTGCTGGCTCCCAGTGAGGACCCTGTGAGGGGCACTTGTGTGGGATGTGAACCACTGAACATCTTTTCTCTACCTCACAGGGGTCAGCAGCACCCAGCAAACAGCAGCAGGAGGAGCCGTGAGAACAGCCGCTCATGGGCAGAGCTGCCCTTGGGCAACTCCCGCCACCACCCCCTCCCCAGGGGAGCCCAATGCAGGAGAGGCTTGGTGTGGAATGAAACAGGGGAGTGAGGGACACAAGGAGGTGGGAAGTGGGAGGGGGCCCCAGCCCCACCAAGTATACAGAGACTCCCTCATCGTCCTGGACACCACACGGTCACCTGCATGCTGGGAAAGCAGGTCTTTTGTGCATGGGCCTGGGGGCAGACCTGCCCTAAGGGTCATGTGGAGACTACAGGTGCTGCACGTGTCAGCGCCCGCTTTAGACATCAGCCTGCAGGTTGACTAAGGGTCAGGCCATGTTTGAACCCATGCTTGACTGGACCAGGACCCGTGGCTAGAGCACCTGGTCACCAGTGTTTAGCCCTGGTCTGCAGGAAGGAGGACAGCAGATTTTAGGACACTGCAGCATGACAGTGCTGACCATTTCACCCTCTTGGTCTCCTTGAGGAATAGGGACGGGGAGCCCTCTGGGGATGGGCGAGGTCTTCCAGGACAGGCTTGATTTTGGTCCCCTGCTTTCTGAGGTTGGGTTAAAACACCATGGCAGAGGGGGCACAGCTCGGGTTCCCACACGTCACTTTTCACAGCCTCCAATGACAGCAGTGCACGTGGAGGAGACGTCTCCCACAAGGCCAAGGCTTCCAGTGCTCACCGATGCCCTCGGTGAAGTTAGGGTAGAACTCGTCAGTGAAGAGGGGCTCCATCAGCTCACGGAAGTACAGCTTCAGCGTGCCTGCGATGGCGTTCACGTCCATCTCGCTCGTCATCACCGACACGTCCTTATTATCTGGAAAGAGCACGGAAATGCAGCAGCCTCCTTCAGGATCCCAAGTGAGTCTCCCACCATCCCAGCCTTGGCTAAAGCACCGTCCCTGCCACGCTGACCACTGTGCAGGTCCCTCCTGGGCTTTGAGCAGCTCATCTGACCCCTCCCAAGAGCTGTGCGTAGTTCTGTGTCTGCAGAGTTGATGGGGCTGCATGGGCACTCCCATTCCTCTCCCCTGCTTGGCCCGATGTGACGGCCAGGAGGAGGCCAGCACAGCAGGACACAGTGCCTGCGTGGGAATTGGGTGACTCTGCCCTGTACATAGCAACCACCCCTGCACCAGTGTCTTCTGATGGCAGGAAGGCTGTGGGAGAATCTGATTGGTTTCAGTGTTTGAACCGGTGTCTTCCTTTGGACCCAATTGGTCACTGGTGCTTATGTCCTCACCATAGGCCAGGTCTATTCTGGGCCCCCAGAGTGAGCTGAAACCACCACAGGGCCCTCCCAGGGGTGCTGAGCATTGTAGGGGTCCTGGTCAGGGTCGGTGGTGAGTGCTGCACAGAAGGGTCTGCAGGCACAAAATCCTGTTGCTTTGAGGATGCTGGAAAGGACCCTCTGGGGTCTCGGTGCCCTCCCCTGGCATTTGAGGCAGGTCCGGGTCCTTCAAAGCCTGTGAGGGTTTGTGAGATGGAGGTGGAGATGCTGCAGCCCCAGCCTGAGCTGGGTCCCATCAGTGTCCTCTGCCCACCGCATCCTCACACAGGGCAGTGGACAGACTGCACTGAGTCCTGGGCTTCCACCTCCTGTCCACCCCCAAGGCAGGAAGGCCAAGGCCCCACAGAAGCCCCTGGTTCACCCCAGCAAGTGGCATGAGTGGGTACGATGGTGTACAAACTGGCTTCTAGAGAAGCTTTTTCTACAACTCTTGTTTTCTCTTTTTTAAAAATAATAAAACAGTAAATGAAGAAAAGACACAGAGAAGGATGTGACATGCCCGGGCCATGGAGCGCTCTGAGATTGCATCGTGGACACCACCGCCCACACCTCCATCCCGTCCTGCGCAGGCCAACACTCACTGACGTCGAAGGCTGCCTTCAGTGCCTGGATGTCCGTGGCCACTCCGGACACGCGGTAGATGCCCACCTCCTCCATGCCTCGGCACTCGATCTCCTCCATGCACTGGCGTACGATGTAGGGCACCTTGGACCTCTGTCTCCTGCGGGAGGAGGAAATGTTCTCAGTGTCCTGACAGCCCTGCTTGGGCCACAACACAGGAGGCCTGCCCCCTCTCTGCATACTTGGAGGTGGGGTGAGGACGGTGACAAAGGCGCCCAGGTCTAGGGCTGCACACAGAGCCTTCTGCATGCCTGTGCTCCCTCTGCAAGCCCTGTCCTCATTGCATGTACTTTCTCAGGAACCTGTCAAGCAGCTAGAACCCTTGAGAGTCACACATGATCTTTGTGGGAAGGTCAGGAGGCCTGTCTAAGTAAAGTCAGAACAGGAAGGGCATCTGACAGATTCCAGGCCTGGGGTTAGCAGCCTGTGCCGTCAGCTGGGGAATCAGACCCGGTGTTGGTCCTGCCACCTGCGCGCTGTGTGAGAGGAGAATCCCTGACCCCTGCCCTGGGCCTGGGCCTTAACACACATCCGAGGAATGAATGAAGGGTTGCCTCAGCACCAGTGCTCCAAGTCCTGTGATGCTACGTGCTTTTCTCCTCTGAGTCTTAGCACTGAACAATTCCAATACTGCCACACAGGACACTAGAGTAAGAATACTTCAAAGTAAGCGCTGTGCTGAGGCTTTAAATTTACTTTCATTTTGCAACTAGATTTACCAGCACATCCAAGCTGCTTCTCAAGCCACCCTCATTAGCAGTGGTTATTTGGGGGAGCTGCTGCTGGAGTCCTCACTGCTCATGCCCAGAGCCCTCCCAGAGTGCTATGCAAGTGGCTGCTGTGCAGTTGGGGGTGGGGCGTGCTGTTTAGACACAGAAAGGAGTGCAGGGTATGATTGATGGAGGCCCCGGCCTACATGACCGGCAAGTTCAGGGACCCAACTGGATTCCATCCTGGGGAAGCAAATGAATTCTCAGAGGAAGTGGTCTGTGTCTGCAAGAACTGCTCTCAAACCCAACAGGCTTCTCTTGGCAACTGACTCGTGACAAAGGGTTCAAGATCATTTGAAAAAAAAAAAAAAAAGGGGGAGCCAGGAGGCAGTGGGTCCTGGAAAAGTAAATTGTTTATTTTACAGTAAGAAAGTAATTAAATATATATTTTTTTACAATGGTGGAAAATTAGAAATGATTGTGAAAATGATGTCTACCCACGTTGCTGATGAGTAGGATGTGATTTGGCTCTTTAGGAAAGTGAATTTGTAGAACTTAAGAATATTGATTTATAAAGGGCATGGCCTTTGACCCAGTCCATCTTATGCAAATCTGGATGCCATAAATAATATTTAAAAATAAAAGTATTGGGGTGGAGGTTGCAGTGAGCAGAGATCACGCCACTACACTCCAGCCTGGTCGACAGAGTGAGACTCTGTCTCAAAACAAACAAACAAACAAACAAAAATAAAGAAGTCATTCCCAATGTTGCTCATCAGATTATGACCATAAATATCCAGGATCAGACTAATGGCTAAAGAGACAGTGACGCATCAACACCAGGCAGAGAACAAAGCAGATTTTTGTTTGTTTGTTTGTTTTTGGAGAGCCTCTAGGAACTTGAAAAATACATATGCCACACTCTTAAGACCCGGTGGTTCTTAATCAGGGGTGTTCATTAAAATGCTGGAAAGCTGAAAAGACTTCCAGGTCCCATCCAAGGAGATTTTGCTTCTGATTGACTGGCTAGTGGCCTGGCCATTGGTATTTTGAAAAAGCCCTCCAAGTGATTCTTTTACTTACACCCCAGATAGAAAACCCCAAATTAAAGGTGGAAAAAAACCAGACACCAAATGGCATTTAAATAAATGTCAACTTTAGTGCCACAAAGCATCTGATTGCATGTGGACAGAAAGAGAAGGAAAGAGGGTGCTATATCTGGATAACTTAGAAATGTGCTCCCCTAGCAAGATATCTACCAAAATTAGAACCATATTTGAGGATGCTGGTACTGCGAGCAATATATAAATGATGCGTGTAATGCCATTTAATATGATCGTATTTTTAAAAATGAGTTGAGTGGTGTTTTCTAGCTGTCAGTTTTTCCAAATATCAATATAGAAATTAGTCTTCTGCAGCTGCAGAGGCAATTCAGTTTCCAGCTTGCTTGCATGTGGCCTAGAGCCATAACGTGGCCCAGAGCATCTCTGATCCACCCCTCCCACAACCACCAAAGCCAGAGACAACCGAATGCCTTGGACCATCTGGTGAGAGATGTAGCTGGTGTAAGAGTCCTGCTGTGAAGTGACAAGAGACTCAAGGCCTAGTTTTGACTTACTGCTAACTTGCTGACACTGCACACTTCCTGAGTGATCTTGGGTGAATCCTTTCACCTCTCTGAAGTTCACTATGAAATGAGAGGTCAATGGTCAAACTTAAACACCTTCAGATGTTGGGTAATATCAGTGAGTAAAATGGACCAGGCACAGCACAAAGCGGAAGGGTGCAGACTGTGGCAAGTTGAAAACTTATGCCTCTGTAAAGGGGGCAGCCACCACTCAGTTCCTGCAGATTACTCTAACTTTGCTGAGGACAGTTGCCCAGGTAGTGCACTACAGAAGGGTAACACTTTAGAGGGGGTGTCATTTGCATCATAGATGCAAAATTCACAGGTGAAGACTGATGTAGTTTGTCCCTAAAGTTTTGCTTTGATTTGCAGATATTTATCCATGGCAGTTTCCTGGAAGATGTCTATAGAAGATTTTGAGGAATGGGCACCTTGTAATTTGCTATTAAACTAAACCCCAAGGGCCCATTATAAGCCAGCACAGTCCTAGGGATTCCACACTCATTCAGTTCCTTTTCATCATAGGAGGTGGGTATTTTAATATCAGGTCCACTATAAGAGGTGGAGGCCGGGCATGGTGGCTCATGCCTGTAATCCCAGCACTTTGGGAGGCCTACGTGGGCAGATCACTGGAGCCCAAGAGTTTGAGACCAGCCTGGGCAACATGGTGAAACTCTGCCTCTACATCACATAAAAAAATTATCCGGGCTTGGTGGCATGTCCCTGTAGTCCCAGCTACTCGGCAGGCTGAGGTGGGAGGATTACTTGAGCCCGGGAAGTCAAGGCTGCAGTGAGCTCAGATTGCACAACTATACTCCAGCTTAGGCCACAGAGCAAGACCTTGTCTCAAAAAATAAAACAAAACAATAGAAAGAAAGAGAAAGGAACAGATCAATATGTACAATAAAGTACCATTTGTATTTTTTTAAAAAAGCAAAAGAACATATTTATTTGGATATTTGTTTATATTCATAAACTATCTCTAGAAAGATACCAAGAAACTGAATAGATTTGGTTGCATCTGAGAAACTACAGGAATAGGGATGGGGTTGAGATGGCGCCTTCTGAATTTTGAAATATAAAAATGTGTTGTCTATTTAGAAATAAATGGGCCAGGCGTGGTGGCTAGGCCAGGTGCGGTGGCTCTCGCCTGTAATCCCAGCACTTTGGGAGGCCAAGACTGGCGGATCACTTGAGGTCAGGAGTTTGAGACCAGCCTGGCCAACGTGATGAAACTCAGTCTCTACTAAAAACATAAAAATGGCCAGGCGTAGTGGCTCACCTCTGTAATCCTAGCACTTTGGGAGGCTGAAGCGGGAGGATTACCTGAGGTCAAGAGTTTGAGACCAGCGTGACCAACATGGAGAACGCCTATCTCTACTAAAAATATAAAATTAACCTGGTATAGTGGTGCATGCCTGTAATCCCAGCTACTCAGGAGGCTGAGGCAGGAGAATTGCTTGAACCCGGGAGGTAGAGGTTGTGGTGAGCCGAGATTGTGCCATTGTACTCCAGCCTGGGCAACAAAAGTGAAACTCTATCTCAAAAAAAACCACAAAAAACCCAAAACAAACAAACAAAAAAACCCACAAAAATTAGCTGGGTGTGGTGGCAGGTACCTGTAATTCCAGCTATTCGGGAGGCTGAGGCATGAGAATCGCTTGAACCTGGGAGGCGGAGGTCACAGTGAGCCAAGATCAGGCCACTGTACTCTAGCCTGGGCAACAGAGTGAGGCTCAATCTAAAAAAAAATGATAAATAAATATTATTAAGACAAAAGTCACAACGACATTACATAAACCAGGTTATGCCAGTGATTTTTGAAAATATCAAAACAGTTTTATAGAAAAATATAACTTCAGGCCAGGTGAGGTGGCTAACGCCTGTAATCCCAGCACTTTGGGAGGACGAGGTTGGTGGATCACCTGACCTCAGGAGTTCGAGACCAGCCTGGCCAACATAGTAAAACCCCAACTCTACTAAAAATACAAAAATTAGCTGGGTGTGGTGGCTCACGCTTGTAATCCCAGTTACTCAGGAGCCTGAGGTAGGAGAATCACTTGAACCTGGGAGGCGGAGGTTGCGGTGAGCCAAGATCGCGCGACTGCAGTAGAGCCTGGGCAACAGAGAAATTCTGTCTCAAAAGAAAAATATAACTTCAAAAAAAATGAAGTAGGAAGAAACAGAAAAGTTTGTCTAGATCTAGAACCATTAAAAGAATTGAAGGTTTATTTTAAAATCTGTATCCCATCCCTTCAAAAATCTCACAAAAAACAAAACCAAAGAAAAGCACCTGGCCCAGATGATTTTATAGACAAGTCCAGCAAACATTAAAAAGAACATGAAGTTTTTATCTTCTACATAATTTTTAAAAATTAATTAATTAATTAATTTTTTAGATGAAGTCTCACTCTGTATCCCAGACTGGAGTGCAGGGGCATGATCGCGGCTCACCGCAACCTCCACTTCGGAGGTTCAAGCGATTCTCCTGCCTCAGCCTCCAGAGTAGCTGGGATTACAGGTGCACCCAGCTAATTTTTTGTATTTTTAGTAGAGATGGGGTTTCACCATGTTGGCCAGGCTGTTCTTGAACTCCTGACCTCAGGTAATCTGCCCACCTCAGCCTCCCAAAGTGCTAGAATTACAAGCATGAACCACAGTGCCCAGCCTACATCATCTTTCAGAAAAAGAAGCAAATGGTATTCTCCCCAACTCATTGTGAATTTAGTGTAGGCTTAATACCAAACCAGACATCAATAGTACAAGGAGGTAAAAGTATAGACTAACTTCTTATGGACATATATGCAAAAATGCTAAATAAAATATTAGCAAATAATCCAGCAATGGATTAAACATGTATCACGACCACGTTGTCGTTTTTAGGAAATTAAGATGATGTAATAAAAGAAAAAACTATTAAAGTAGTACAAACTATCAAAGGAAAAAAACCTGTATGATCATTGCAACGGGGTCATTTGCGACATCATATAATTTTTTTCTTTTTTTTTTTTTTTAAGTTTTTTGACTGTAAGTTTATTCAATGCAAAATAATCCTTTTCAATTTTACTGAGGTGGCTGACGGCGTCCATGACCAAATCCGCCTGTAAACTGGAATTCGGTTGTTGACCCAGTCCCAGCCTGGGCTTTCTTGTCAGCACCAGGAGGCACAGCACTCCCTCTGTATGTATCTCTGTCGGCTTCCCCTCTTGTGAGTCTTGCAGGTCGCTCACCCTCCAGACCTTTAGGACTAGGCCTGCCAGTCCCTGGACGGCTGCAGTGTAGGGTGGCAGGCACAATCTCTGGGGGCAGATGAAGATAATCACGAAGATACTGGATACCCTCATTGATAAGGTACCAGTAGAAATGTCTCCAGGCAAACTGTTCCTTCATGTAGTAGCCTCCGGACTTGAAAGACTGCATGGCCTTCATGACATGAACGTTGAGCACATTCTTTTTTTTTTATTTGACATAAGTCTCACTCTGTCGCCCAGTCTGGAGTGCAGGGGTGCGATGTTGGCTCACTGCAACCTCTGCTCCCTGGGTTCAAGCAATTCTTCTGCCTCAGCCTCCCGACTAGCTGGAATTACAGGTGTCTGCCACCGCGCCCAGCTAATATTTTTGTATTTTTAGTAGACACGGGGTTTCACCATCTTGGTCAGGCTAGTCTTGAACTCCTGAACTCGTGATCCGCCCACCTCGGCCTCCCAAAGTGCTGGGATTATAGGCGTGAGCCACCGCGCCTGGCCGGGCACATTCTTATCTGCCAGTTCCAGGTGCTTAGGCAGGTGGACATCCTTCTTGACCACGGTGACTTCCTCCTTAAAAAGGAGTTCATAAATGGCAAGCCTCTTCTTAGGCATAAGCATTCTGGGGAGGAGCAGCCGCTAAGGCGGCAGGGTGGCCCGGATGGGGGGCCGATGGAACTCGAACTCCACCAGAATTTCTTTAATATTATATATATATATATAGCTCGCTTATTTGTCTGTTCCTTATGTACCCGGAGCGCCAGTAGGACAGGGCTTTGTGTTTTCCTCACCACTGTCTGGCTCATGCCTAGGACAGTCCTTGGCACACGGTAAACACGCTGAGGAGCGCCTTTGAGACTAGCTGACTCTGAGCATCATTCCGCAGGGTCCAGTGGCGCCTCTGAAGCGACCGGTCTTGCCAGGCTCCAGCCCAAGACGTGACGCATGCGCACCGGCTGGCCGGCTATTTTTTTTTTCTCGAGCGACCGAGTAGCAGGGCGCCTGCGCGACCCAGTGCCAGAGGAACGCGAGCTAGAGATTGGGGGGACAGCAGCGCCTGCGCAGTGAAGGAATGTGGGCGGGGCCCACACGGCGCCTGCGCAGGCGGCCGCAGGCCCGCTGGGCGCGAAGGGGCGGGCCAAGGGCGGGGGCCGCGCGGGAGGCAGGGCGGGCCCGGCAAGCGGCGCCGCGGGGTTGGCTGCTGCCCTGAGGCCAGACTCAACGGGTCTCTGCTGAGCCACCGGGTGAGCTCTCCGCCCAGCCCAACCAGGAGATTGCGAGGGAGCGATGCGGTGCCGCGCGGTAAGAGTCACGGCCGGGTTCCCGCAGTGTTCGCTGGCGGGTTGGTTTATCGCCTCAGCGCCGCCCGCGCGGCCGCGCCCGGGCGTCCCCGCAGACCCCGGCAGGCCCCGCGCCTGCGCCGTCCCTACTCCTGGGCCCCTCCAGTGTGTCCCGCGCCTGCGCCTTTCTCTTCCCGCGCCGTCCTCATTCTGGGCTCTGGGGCTCTTGGGACTACCCGCAGCCTTCGCCGCGCAGACCCACGGGCCTCCGTCCGTTGGTGTTGGGGTTCAGCTGGTTCTGCGACCCTGCTTGCGGCTCGTCTGTGTGCTGACAGGTCGGGTGCGACCCTCGTGCTTGCCTTTCGGGCGCTACAGGAGAGGCTGGGGCTGCCGCCCCATCTCCTGGGTCCCCTGCCTGGGGCGGGGACGGCGTTGTTCAGTGGCCCCAAGGGCGCAGCGCGGGCAGCAGGGGCCGCGGGCGGCGGACCCCAGGTCTGCTGCGGGTGCTGTTTCTGCTGTGGCCGGCGCCCCAGGCGGACGGAACGTCCTTTCTTCTTGAGAGGAGTTTAATTGCATCAGGTTGGATATGAATAATCCGGTGCCTGGCTGAGGAATTTTGCGTTTCCAGGAATTTGGTAATTGTAGTACCTTAAGTAGTTAAGTCTAAGACATCATAGTCACCCGGCACGTTGGGCAAGCTGTCCTGGAGATGACGAAAAGAAATCAGTTTCCAGTAGTTTTAGCACATTTACAGAACACGCAAAAATTCTGTGATCATTCAAATGCAGGGAACCTTGATTTGTTGATGTCCTTGATCATTTGTCCCAAGTACAGGAAGGGCGAGGAAAAGATTCCCGTGAATACTGCCCAGGTGATTTCAGGGAACAGTGTTTTCTTTTGTCCAAAGAGCCTCTTAAGCCATTGATAATATTTCCCAAGCTCATAACAGATACAAGCCTTTGAAAAATGACGATTGCTCTAACCCAGTAGGACACATCTTGCGATGAAATCAGAGCTATAGGCTTTGTAGACAACAGCAGTCATTTCTAGTGGCTTCGGGGAGTAGAGGGGGACTGCGGTTTTGCCAATATAGGTGATACCAGAGGGACTTTAGTAATTTTTTCTTCATAATGAAAAGCCAAGCCAGGCGCGGTGCCTCACGCCTGTAATCCCAGCACTTCCGGAGGCAGGGGCCAGCGAATCACCTGAAGTCAGGAGATCAAGACCAGCCTGACCAACATGGTGAAATCCTGTCTCTACTAAAAATACAAAAATTAGCCGGGCGTGGTGGCACGCGTCTGTAATCCCAGCTACTCAGGAGGGTGAGGCAGGAGAATCGCTTGAACCGGGGAGTCGGAGGTTGCAGTGAGCCATTTTGCGCCACTGTACTCCAGCCTGGGCGACAGAGCCAGACTCCGTCTCAAAAAAACAAAAACTAGACATAACAAGGCAGAGCGTGGTGGCTGACGCCTGTAATCTCAGTAGTTTAGGAGGCCGAGGCGGGCAGATCACTTGAGGTCAGGAGTTCGATAACAGCCTGGTCAACATGGTGAAACCCCGTCTCTACAAAAAATAAAAAATTAGCTGGGCGTGGTGGCACATGCTTGTGATCCCAGCGGCTCGAGAGGCCAAGGCAGGAGAATTGCTTAGGAGGCAGAGGGTGCAGTGAACCGAGGTCTCGCCACTGCATTCCACCCTGGGTGACAGAATGAGGCTCCCTCTCAAAAAAGGAAAAAAAACCCAAAACACAGCCATTACAATATACATGTATGTTATAAAATAAACCAATATAGAAGGGTATATAGTGAAAGGAGAAGAACTGTTGGTAAAATTGTTTCTATGAATAAATGGCTAATCCAGTGTTTTTTCCTCCAGAAAAACACCTTTTCCCCTTTGATTTAGTGTACACCACACAGAGTCGCTTAGCCGACTCAGCGACTTTTTAGATAGCTGGAGAATGCTTCCTAATGGTTGCAGGTGTGTAGTGGTTTTCTTGACATTTTCAGTAAGAAAGTGAATGCTGTGCCATAGGAAAGCTTTATCACTGGTGCACGTTGGTAGCCAACCAAATACTTGAGTGTCAAGTATGGTATCTAGTGATTGGAGAATAACCGTAATAATTACAATTACAGTTGTAGTTAAAGTGAAGTTTGTATCAAAATTTCTGTTTCAAACATGAACTTTTAGGAGGTGTATCTGCAGTGCTTCCTCCTCAGATGTTCTCTGAAGCAGTGGTTCTCTATAACTGACTTGACACACAATGCATCTGATACTTCGAATGATTTAAGTGACAGTATCAAAATTACTGTCGTATACATATTTAAATCACATGACTAACCTGCGTGTGGTATTACGCAAACTGCTCAGCTCAGTAAGGGAACAGAAATAAGAAAAAAAGGACAGTATTGGGAGTCGTTTTATACAATTAAATTTATTCGATTGAAGGACTGTCCTTTCTAAAAAAGAAGTCCTGGTTTCTTGGTGTTAAAATAAAGCATCTTTTATGAAATGATGGTGATAGTAAATGGTGATATATGGTAAATGTAAGTAGCAAATACAAGGTTAGTTATTGTGATTTTTAAAAATAAAGAGAGCCAAGAGTCTCTTCTTTTGCTGCTGTTGTTAGGGAGTTCAGGAAAAAGTTCCTGGGGCTTTTGCTTTTAAGAAGATACAAATTTAGATTATTTCTTAAGAGTAAATATGAGTTTATTTCGAGGTCATTTGTCACAGTCTACTGAGAAATCCATTGAGAAAGCTGTTAAGTTTGCCTGGCATTAAAGATGTTCCTATTCTGATCATTGTTAAATAGATCTTTTCTTATTAGGTATAAAATGTCAGGAGATATTTTATTTTGAGACAGAGTTTCACTCTTGTTGCCCAGGCTGGAGTCCAATGGCTCGATCTTGGCTCACCACAACCTCCACCTCCCGGGTTCAAGTGATTCTCCTGCCTCAGCCTCCCAGGTAGTTGGGATTACAGGCATGTGCCACCACCGCTGCCTAATTTTGTATTTTTAGTAGAGACAGGGTGTCTCCATGTTGATTAGGCTGGTCTGGAACTCCCGACCTCAGGTGATCTGCCTACCTCGGCCTCCCAAAGTGCTGGGATTACAGGCATGAGCCACCTCACCTGGCCCCAGGAGATTTTTTTGTGTTGTGGTGTGCCAGCAAAATAAGCCTAGGCAGGGAAATTCCTTCTGGTGGTAGGAATTGTTAGTACTGAATAGACTAGCTGCGAGGTAAAGAAACCCCACGGTGTTTTCTCAGTTCAGAAATCACTGTGACCTCAGTCTTTTGCTGTGAAATAACATGACCATTAAGAAAGTAGGCTTAAATAATGTATTTTGGGTATGTCGAGGGGGAAGGACAGTTACGATCTGTTCCAAAGTGAACATAAGAGATGATCCCTGTGTCTGTCAAGCCTTTAAAATTTATAGTGCTTTTCTGTTAATCTCAAATAAGGTTTAGAGTTATTGTGACATAGTCTTAAAACCTGCAGTATATCAAAAGGCACATTTTTAAAGCATCTTGAATTGAAATTAATAATGTAATATCTACTTTTTCAGAATAGCAGTTTTTACATTCTGAAGACTGACTGACTGCTCTCAGCCACTTCTGAGTTCTCTATTTTCAAAGATAATTTGGTAACTCCATAAAGGAAATCTGTAAATAAGAGAAGAGAGTGAATATCTTTTAACAGTGTTTTTCCTGATCTTTTCTAATATCTTTTTTTTTTTTATTTTTTTTATTTTTTTTTTTTTGAGGCGGAGTCTCGCTCTGCCGCCCAGGTTGGAGTGCCGTGGCCGGATCTCAGCTCACTGCAAGCTCCGCCTCCTGGGTTCACGCCATTCTCCGGCCTCAGCCTCCCGGAGGCTGGGACTACAGGCGCCCGCCACCTCGCCCGGCTAGTTTTTTGTATTTTTAGTAGAGACGGGGTTTCACCGTGTTAGCCGGGATGGTCTCGATCTCCTGACCTCATGATCCGCCCGTCTCGGCCTCCCAAAGTGCTGGGATTACAGGCTTGAGCCACCGCGCCCGGCCATCTTTTCTAATATCTTCGTTGTGGTTCTGTCCTTTAGTTTTTGGTTAAATCCTGAGGTTTACTTCTGCCTGTATCTTCCCAAACTATTAATCCGTTCACAGTCACTCTCCCATGTAAACTCTTCAACAGCCCCCCTACCTTCGTAATAAGGTCTCCTTAGCTTGGTATCCAGAACACTTCAATACTGGCCTTTGACCCCTGTTCTCCTTCCCCCATCTCTGTTTAGATGCTTCACTGAGCTGCAATGAACAGCTCTTGGCCCCTTGAAATCTCTCCAGTCTCCTTGTCTCCCTCTGCTGGAATATTCTTCTCTCACTTCATCTGATCATTGCCTTCAAAACTCAGCTCATTTTCTTATTTCCTTGCCCTTTTCATGTCCCTTGTTTTCCTCCAATTAAATTAATGTTCCAGACTCAAAAGAAAAACGGCTCAGCTCAGGCATTACCTTGTCTGGAAGGCTTCCCTAGTCCTCCTGCCTCCTGCAGACTTGTCTGGTACCCTGTACATTCGGGATTTGGCACACTGTGTCTCGTCTGTGGCCTCCACTGCACGATGAGACCGTAAGTGTGTGGCTTGACGGAAAGT